TCCATAGGTGGTTCCAATTTCGGCCAATTCCTGGTCAAGTGGTTGAAATTTTGCGCTGCGCGTGGCCCTGTTGGCCCTCACCTGGCTCAACAAAAGTCAGTTTTGCATTATAAGTTTTTTTTTGTTGAAGGAGCCAGGTGGAAATTATCGGTTGAACTGTGACTGCATCTGGTTATTGGCGTTAACCTGGTTCCTCTGTGTAGTTGAGCTGGTGTCCAAAGGATTTTCGTGTGTTGTTTTTATTTATGTATGTTTGTTTATGTTTTGTTTGCGTCACATGACCTATGAAAAAAATACCCTAAACGTGGTGAAATTGTGCACCTTCAGCACCTTCCTTTTTTTTTTTTTTTTTTTTTTTCCCCTATTGACAAAAAGCTGATCTTTGGCAGATACACTAACTATATATATATATATATATATTATATATATATATATATATATATATACTATATATATATATATATATATTTTTTTTTTTTTTTTATTTATTTCAGGTACTTATATAGCTCTGTCAATTTACACAGCACTTTACATTTATATTGTACATTCACATCAGTCCCTAACCCTCAAGGGGCGTACAATCTAAGGTCCCTAACTCATTCATACATACACATATTAGGGCCAATTTAGACAGGAGCCAATTCACCTACCAGCATGTCTTTGAAGTGTGGGAGGAAACCGGAGTACCTGGAGGAAACCCACACAAGCACAGGGAGAACATGCAAACTCCATGCAGGAGGCACCATGGTCGGGAATCAAACCCATGACCCATTTAATGCAAGGCAGACGTGCTAACCACTAAGCCACTGTGCTGCCTATATATATATACACACACACGGTCAACGTGTGTGTGTGTATGTACACGTACACACACACACACGTACAATCTTAAGGTCCCTAACTCACATCCATACATATAAGGGCAAACTTAGATAGGAACCAATTCACCTACCAGCATGTCTTTGGATTTTGGGAGGAAACTGGAGTACCCGGAGGAAGCCCAGGCAGGCACAGGGAGAACATGCAAACGCCAGGCAGGTGGTGCCATGGTGGGGTTTGAACCAACAACCCTAGTACTGCCAGGCGGAAGTGCTGACCATTTAGCCACTGTGCTGCCCATATACAGTATATACAATTTTTTTTTTTTTAAACATATTTTATGTTAGGAGCAACAGACATTCTACTTGGCTGATGCTGGGCTTTCTCTGTGTGTTGGAGAGTTCAAGTACTCCTTGCTCTTTTCCAAAGACTTGCATGCCAGCCAAATATATTGTTTCCTTTTTGCTATTTTTGTTGCTGCGCTGCCAGTGCCACAGACGTGGAATGAAGGAAGGGGGAGCATTGTAGTCTTCCTGTAGACGTACGCAGTTTTTTTTCCCATGTCTGCCTGTAGAGATGAGACTGTTAGATACAGGAAATCAGACATTCCTTGCTGCAGAATGCTTTGCTGATTGCTAGGTCAATTCCAGGGATCTAGTCAGATCGGCCATGAACTGCTGATGCAATTTGGGAAACACTTCAGCTGTGCTAGATTCAGTGATAGAAATACAGAAAACATTGTGTGCGAAAGTTTTTAAAAGAAAAAAAAAAAAAAAAAGTCCATTTAAAGTGTTCCTAAACCCTGGACCCTGCATTCACTATATCCGCTCTTCCCGGACCCCGCATTCACTATATCCGCTCTCCCCGGACCCCGCATTCACTCTATATCCGCTCACTCCCCGGACCCCGCATTCACTATATCCGCGCTCTCCCCGGACCCTGCCTTCACTATATCCGCTATCCCCGGACCCTATCCCTTCACTATATCCGCTCTCCCCGGACCCTGCCTTCACTATATCCGCTCTCCCCGGACCCTGCCTTCACTATATCCGCTCTCCCGGACCCCGCCTTCACTATATCCGCTCTCCCCGGACCCCGCCTTCACTATATCCGCTCTCCCCGGACCCCGCCTTCACTATATCCGCTCTCCCCGGACCCCCGCCTTCACTATATCCGCTCTCTCCCGGACCCCGCATTCACTATATCTGCTCTCCCCCGGACCCCACATTCACTATATCCGCTCTCCCCGGACCCCCGCATTCACTATATCCGCTCTCCCCGGACCCCGCATTCACTATATCCGCTCTCCCCGGACCCCGCATTCACTATATCCGCTCTCCCGGACCCCGCATTCACTATATCCGCTCTCCCCGGACCCCGCATTCACTATATCCGCTCTCCCCGGACCCCGCATTCACTATATCCGCTCTCCCCGGACCCCGCATTCACTATATCCGCTCTCCCCGGACCCCGCATTCACTATATCCGCTCTCCCCGGACCCCGCATTCACTATATCCGCTCTCCCCGGACCCCGCATTCACTATATCCGCTCTCCCCGGACCCCGCATTCACTATATCCGCTCTCCCCGGACCCCGCATTCACTATATCCGCTCTATTCCGCTCCCCCGGACCCCGCATTCACTATATATCCGCTCTCCCCGGACCCTGCCATCCTTTTTAAAGGTCTTGTTAAAGACTTTCAGCTGGTAAGTATAGATGCACATTGATGGCTCTTGGTCTATGCCCCAACCGAGGGTCGTCTTTAGTTGGTGAAGGAAGGCGGGAGTGTTGTCTTGCAGCACAGCAGTAGGTGATGACTGCAGGTGGTCCAAGCTTCTCAACATTCTGCAACTCCTAGAAACTTTAGAAGACTCTGGATGGTATCCAACCGGAAACCCTACCCCATTATTGGTATGTCAAGGTCCATTGGCATCCTGCTTCCAGACAGTTTGATTTATGGCCCATACAAATAGCAGGATGTTTGAATTGTAGACTAGATAAAGTTATTTACTGCCTGGTAACCATATACACTCTTCTCAGGTGTGAGGGACTCTGGGCCACTGTAACAGCTTGAATACCAGGCCTATTCGGGCACTTTTTTTGTTTACATTTAAAAATCAGTATTTTTTTTGCTAGAAATCCCTAAACAAAAAAACAAAACTGCAGGTAAAAAAAAAAAAACCCCAAAAACAAACAAAAAAAAAATGCATATATATAAAAAAACATGTTTTTTTGTTTGTTTTTCAGGTGTGAGGGGGGGGGGGGGGGCACTTTTTTTTTTTTTTTTTTTTTTTTTGTTTAGGGATATATATATATATATATATATATATATATATATATATATATATATATATATATATATATATATATTATTATATATATATATTAGTGTGTGTGTGTGTGTATATATCTATAGAATAAAAAGTGTGTGTATGTGTTTATTTAAAAAGAATGAATATATATATAGAATACAAAGTGTGTATGTGTTATATATTACACATACACACTTTTTATTATATATATTCATTCTTTTTAATATATATAATAAAAAGAATGAATATATATAGAATAAAAAGAAGAATATATAGAATGAAAAGTGTATTATGTTTATATTTTTATATATATACATATACATACACACACAGTTATATACATAATTTGTGTGTGTATATATGTATATGTTGTGTGTATATGTGTGTATATATATAGTATATATATATATATATATATATATATAACACATACACACTTTTCATTCTATATATTCTTTTTTTTTTTTTTTATTCTATATATTCATTCTTTTATATATATATATATATAAAATGTGTGTATGTATTGTAAACATCCCTTGTGGTGGTAAATAAATAAGGTCCTCTTTATGGAAACATCTGGGGTCTATAAACCCAAATGTCTCCCCTACCTTTTTTTTAAAAGCATAAGTTTAAAAAAAAAATGTATCTTTTTTTTTTTTTTTTTTTTTTTAATGTGGTTTACATTCGGCTCAGACAGGAAGTGATGTCACTCTATTCCCCCTAGATCAGTGATGGCGAACCCGTGGCACGCGTGCCACAGCTGGCACGCCGAGCCTTATCTGTGGGCACGCCAGGAGAATACCGTATTTTTCGCTCCATAAGACGCACTTTTTTTCCCCAAAAAAGGGGGGAAAATGTCAGTGCGTCTTATGGAGCGAATATAGAGCGGCCGGTCCGGTATTTCCACCGCCGCCGTGTCAGAATACCGGGCCGGCCGCTCAGCTCTGCAGTGGGACCGTACCTGTCCCTCTATCCAGCGGCGCGCTGTCTTCCCGACTTCTGTAGTGTGCGTGACAGCCGGGTCCCAAGTGCGCATGCGCAAGAAGCAGTGCTCTTTGTGAATGGTAAGGCGGTACCTGGGACACATGACAGATCCCAGAAGCCGCCGGACCAATCACAAAGCGCAGCGCTTCTCGCGCATGCGCACTGGGCATCCGGCTGTCCGACGAGCGCCCACACTACAGAAGCCGGGAAGACAGCGCGCCGCTGGATAAAGGAACAGGTAAGATAAAAAAAAAACTCTGCGGAAGTAAGAGCGGGTACCTGTCAAATTCAGGTACCCGCTCCCCCCCCTCCCCAAAGGTCAGCAGTCATCTGTACTGTCTGCAGTCTCTGGTCATCCCTGTGCTGTCTGCAGTCTCTGGTCATCCCTGTGCTGTCCGCAGTCTCTGGTCATCCCTGTGCTGTCCGCAGTCTCTGGTCATCCCTGTGCTGTCCGCAGTCTCTGGTCATCCCTGTGCTGTCCGCAGTCTCTGGTCATCCCTGTGCTGTCCGCAGTCTCTGGTCATCCCTGTGCTGTCCGCAGTCTCTGGTCATCCCTGTGCTGTCCGCAGTCTCTGGTCATCCCTGTGCTGTCCGCAGTCTCTGGTCATCCCTGTACTGTGTCCGCAGTCTCTGGTCATCCCTGTGCTTTCCGCAGTCTCTGGTCATCCCTGTGTCCGCAGTCTCTGGTCATCCCTGTGCTTTCCGCAGTCTCTGGTCATCCCTGTCCGCAGTCTCTGTGTCCTGTGCTTTCCGCAGTCTCTGGTCATCCCTGTGCTTTCCGCAGTCTCTGGTACTGTGTCCGCAGTCTCTGGTCATCCCTGTGCTTTCCGCAGTCTCTGGTACTGTGCTTTCCGCAGTCTCTGGTCATCCCTGTACTGTGTCCGCAGTCTCTGGTCATCCCTGTACTGTGTCCGCAGTCTCTGGTCATCCCTGTACTGTGTCCGCAGTCTCTGGTCATCCCTGTACTGTGTCCGCAGTCTCTGGTCATCCCTGTACTGTGTCCGCAGTCTCTGGTCATCCCTGTACTGTGTCCGCAGTCTCTGGTCATCCCTGTACTGTGTCCGCAGTCTCTGGTCATCCCTGTACTGTTAATTAGTTTGCACTACTGTACGAGTTGTTTTTTCTAAACCAAAAGCTCGATATTCAGGTTTCATTGCAGTGTTGGCACTTTGAAAGATATAAGTTGGTTTTGGGTTGCAGTTTGGGCACTCGGGCTCAAAAAGGTTCGCCATCACTGCCCTAGATCATAGAGGTGAGGAAAGACGATCTGTGTCCACCCACTGCAACCACCAGATTGGATCCCGAGCTTGCCTGTGAAAATGGTAAGCCCTGGAAACCCCAGCAGGAGAAGGGGGGCCCTCCCCTTCTAAAAACGATCCAGCAGCTAATAAGTCGCTCTGATTGCTTTTATGTGAAAGGGAGACAGGTGCTGAGGAAGAAAAATTACTGGGATTATAGCTGATAGCTTCATCCATAACCCCGGTATAACGCTTACAAACCGCAACGTGTGTGTGTGTGTGTGTGTATGTATGTGTGTGTGTATATATATATATGTATATATATATATATATATATATATATATATATATATATATATATATATATATATATATATATCAGACTTTAAGACATGGTGATCTGCTGTGTCCAATCACAGCCCAGAGTTCTGTGTTGACAAACACCGTGCTCTCAACAGAGGAAGCGATCTGTTTGTTTCTTCTCAGTATTCTTGCAACCTGGATACTCAAAAAAAAAAAAAAAAAAATCGCCCTGTGGAGATGAGAGAAAATGATCCATTATAAAAGAATATTACTCCCTGTTTGTACAGTCAAGCCAAGTTGCTTTTAGTGAACAATAATACTCTTTATCTGTTTTCTCTCTTGGTGTCATAATGGATCCGTATCCAAATGCTGGTAGAATGATTTCCTGGGAATCTCTTATGCAACAAGCCTTTTTAAAAAATATATTTTTTTTTTATCTGTCATTCTTGTGGTTCATTTTAGGTTATGTGGAATTTACTTAGTGAGAAGGGGTAGAACCTTCACCCTACACCCTTTTAAAGAGACCCTGCCGCAGAACTAAACAACATAAATCACGTCACAAGAATATGTATTTTATTTTTCTTCATAAAAGGACCGCAGTAATCTTTTTTTCAGTTTAAGTATTATGGAACCATTTTTTTTTTTTCATACTTTCCTTTAATAAACTCCTCATCGTGTGTGTGTGGGGGGGGGGGGGGGGTATGTGTATGTATGTATACACGCACACGCAGTCCCTGCGTTACAAAGATAGATATAGTTACATAGTCTGGGTGAAAAAAGACAAAATTCCATCCAGTTCAATCATTCGAAAAAAAAAATATATATATAAGCGTGTGTGTATATAATATATACACATATTACTTTTTTTTTTTTTTTTTTCATTTACAAACACACTTTGTTTTGCAGAAACGCACGCTAAACTTTTTTTTTTTTTTTTGGGGGTTTTTTTTACACACACTAAAATATTACTAATTATATTAATATATATAATTTATTTTTTATGCAACACGCTTTAATATTGTGTCATTATTGGTGTTTATTTTTTTTTTTTTTTACACACACAATAAAAAAAAAAAAATCTTTTTTTTTTTTTTTTGGGGAGGGGGTGTGGGGGGACCAGTACACTCTCTAGAAACTAGCCTGTCAAACACCAGAAGAAATTTTGTTTGAAAGTATTTTAGAATTCCTTTTCAGTGTTGCCAAACATTTTTCACACCACATTCGTCACTGCATAATGCACTGTGAGAGTTTTCGTACAACTGTTTATTCGAATGGTCGTTTGGAAATCTACTAGTGTATGGCCAGTTTAAGGCAATCACTTAAATTAGACTCTTGAGGTTTACCATGAATTCCTTAGCAGACCTTACATGGGGCAAGCTGAATATTCTATTACACAGGTCTGCAAAAAAATTTTTTTCAAGAGCTGTTTTGGTTATTCCACGTAATGTTTATGTTTTTTTTGGTGCACTGAATCCGAAAATGACCTCCATTTTGTCATAGGACACCACATTTCCTGACAATTTAGGTAACTATGTTAAATAAGGCAATACCTCAAAATAAATGGAAATAGATTTATAAAATTAAAGTTTTATTACAATTTTTTCATGAAAATCCTTTTTTGAACTAAAATGAGCTCACCTACACACACTAAACTCGATTCTTCTTCCCTGTGAGGCTCCTGTTGGTGCATTTCGCTTGTGAGTAGCATCTGGAATGTCTCTCTGAAGCCTCCAACAGTAGTCTGCCATCATTGTAATGCTCCATTTCCCTGGTATCTCCTTTCCATCTCTTTAATGTCTTGGTGGAATCGTTCACCTTGTTCCTCACTCACAGCTCCCAAATTTTCAGGAAAGTAGTCAAGGTGGGACTGGAGGAAATGCACTTTCAAACTCATCAGGCAACCTAAAGCTTGAAATGTTTTCAGCATTCGTCCAACAATCTTTTTGTAGTGAGGATCTTTGTTACTGCCTAAAAATTTCTGTATGACTTCCTTAAATACCATACACCCTTCTTTGTGAGGATCCGTCATGGTATTGACAAACTCTTGATCAACTATAAGCCTTCTAATGTCTGGTCCGACGAACCTTCCTTCAATTTTGCCTCCGACAGGCCTGGAAACTTGGTGACCAAGTATTTGAAGCATTCTCCATCTCTTGGAAGTGATTTTATGAATTGCTTCATCAATCCCAATTTTATGTGGAGAGGTGGTAGAAGAACTTTATGGGAAGGTACCAAAGTTTCTCGGAGGACATTTTTTTCACCGTTAGCACCCTTGGCTGCCAACTCTTCTTGGTCCAGTGATTTTGTCGGTCTCGACTGTCCCATAGACACAGAAAACAAGGGTATTTGGTGTCCCACCCACTGGGTTCTTCAGGAAAGATTAACCCCTTCTACCATTAGAAGCACAGACTCAGGGCTGAGGCTAACACATACAGCATGCTACTGAGTATCCCAGTAGTCAGACATGTCACTCAGAGCAGCACTTGTATTCACCCCCTTTGCTGGGGGGGGGGAGGGGCAGAGATTGTTTACCTGCAAATAACAACAAAGGGCCAGAAGAGAACTAGGGAAATGAGGAAATAGAAATTTTTTTTTCCCTAAAACTTGCTTAGCTTATGTATATATTTCTGACCATCAGATTTACAGTGCTATATTTTTTTTTACATAGCTCGGACAACCCCTTTTAGGTTTTTTTGGCATTTTATATCTTAAATGCACTTATGTGAATTAATTAATAGTAATTTGGACTTTAAATTTGGTTAAAAACCCATAATATAAAAAAAATACCAAAAATTAAATTTTTTTTTTATAAATTTGAAGACTATTTTGCATTTTGTGGCAAATCATGACGTCTAGGAGTTTTTTCAATATTTTATTTGTTTTTCAGCACACCAAAATACATGGAAATTTGATGAAAATAATCAAACAGCTTTTTAGTCACAGACCTGTGTTATGGATACCTAGGTCTTTGCACTGTTTATTTAATAGGGTAGCTTTGCTCAGCATTGATATAACGCATGGCTGTAACTTGCTCTGCTTGTTTATGTCACAATGTGAGCAAAGTCCAAGGTAGTTCTTTCTGCCAGCATTTTGTTTTGCTGCTGTCTGGCAGGCTGTGGTGTCCCTGCGAGGCCTGGTGTGTTTATGACCTGTCTGCCTCCTTCATTAAATGGGACTGGAGTCCATGGAGGCCTAATGCATTCTGGATGTGCATGCGTTTCCATTTCCTCATTTCAGAGGGAGAACAAATTTTGACTTTTGTGTGTTCATATTTTTTTTTCCCCAAAGTTCACAAAGTTATAATTGTAGAAAAAAGCTTGGGTGAGATGGTACTTGGTATCTAGAATAAATAAAGAGTTTGTACTTTGTGTGTGTCCAGCATTTCATATTCCTGATGTGTGTCTGCTGTACCATGTACTTGAATGTAAAGCGATACTGAATGTTCTTTCTTTCTTCTTTCTTTCTTTCTTCTTTTCCTTTCTTTCTTCTTTTCCTTTCTTTTTCTTTTCTTTTTTCCGTTCTTTTTCTTCTTTTCCTTTCTTTCTTCTTTTCTTTCTTTCGTTCTTTCTTCTTTTTCCGTTCTTCTTTTCTTTTTCTTTCGTTCTTTCTTCTTTTTCCGTTCTTTCTTCTTCTTTTCTTTTCGTTCTTTCTTCTTTTTTCCTTTCTTTCTTCTTTTCCTTTCTTTCTTTCTTCTTTTCCTTTCTTTCTTCTTTTCCTTTCTTTCTTCTTTTCCTTTCTTTTTCTTTTCCTTTCTTTCTTCTTTTCCTTTCTTTCTTCTTTTCCTTTCTTTCTTCTTTTCTTTCCCTTTTTTTCTTTCTTTTCTTTTTTTTTTTTTTCTTTTCTCTTTCCTTTTTTCTTTCTTCTTTTTCTTTTTTTTCTTTTTTTTCTTTCCCTTTTCTTTCTTTCTTTTTCTTTTCTTTTTTCTTCTTTTTCCTTTTCTCCTTTCTTTCTTCTTTTCTTTTCCTTTCTTTCCCTGCTGTGTGGTGGCTTTTGCACAGAACAGCGCAGGTCCTCCTCTTCTCGGGTCCCCCCTCAGGCTCTCCTGTTAGATGCCCCCATAGCAAGCAGCTTGCTATAGGGGCACCCACTGCTCCGTGTGTCCATTCACACATGGAGCCGCGGCTTGGCCCCGCTCCCTCTCATTGCCAGCCTCATTGGCAGACTGGCTTTTTTTTTGCCTGCCAATTCAGAGTAAGGTGACAATGCCTCCATTATAACTCCAATTTTCCTAGCAAGGTGATGTCACCCATCCATGCTCCCCACTGCTGGCATTCACCTGGAGTTTGCTCTGGTGTCAGAACTCGCCCATAAGATGCATGCCTACCAGGTATACATGACCCCCCTATTTAGAGTGATCTATAAGCGCTCAATCTGCACAGCCATAATAGCCTATCTCAACACAGGTCCTAACACCATTGTTTTCCTCAGATGAGCGGATAATATGAGTAATGTGTCCAAACAAACAGAATCATGCAAAAAAAAAAAAAAAGCAAACGTATGCACTCCTCACTGTGTTGAAATCACCAAGTGCACCGAAATGAAAATTCTGGTGCCGAAACCGAAAATTCAAAATGCACTTGACTGAAAACCGAAACTGAAATGCGCGGTTTTTACAAATTAATATATATATTTTTGGAAAAAATAATATATACCCCAATTTTTTTGTAAAATATGAAAGGGGATGTTACGGCGAGTAAATGGATACCCAACATGTCATGCTTTAAAATTGTGCTCATGAAAGGGCTTGAAACTACTGTACTTAAAAATCTCCATGGGTGATGCTTTAAAAATTTCTACAGGTTAGCAGTGTAAAGTTACAGAGGAGGTCTAGTGCGAGAATTATTTCTCTTGCTTTGACGTTCGTGGCGATACCTCACGTGTGTGGTTTGAACTCCATTTACATATGTGGGCGTGGCCTACGTATGCATTCACCACTACATGTGAGCTCCGGGGGGGATGGGGGTACTTTTTTTAAACTTTTTTTTTTTAATGTATTTTGAATTTTTTGTCTTTGTTTTAAAAAAAAAAAAAAAAAAAAATGTTAATCACTTTTATTCTTATCACAAGAAATGCATGCATCCCTTGTGATAGAAATAATTAGTGACAGGTCCTCTTTATGGAGAGAGATATGGGGTCAATAAGACCCCACATCTCTCCTCTGCAATATAAAGCATTGGATCTAAGAAAAAAAAAAAATGGGTGGAACCGGACGTGACATCGCTTTAGTCCTCCAAGGGCATAGAGATGAGTGGAGGCCATCTTTCCTTCACTAATCTCTATGCCCTGCGGCGGGATCTTTGATGGTTTCTCAGGTAAGGCTGAGAACTGAGCGAGGGGGCGGGGTTTTTTCGGCACCTGTATCGGTGCTTTTTTTCATATCGGGAGGTATGTTTTCGGCCGAAACGTTTCGGCGCATCCCTACCAAATACCATTTATTAGACTTAAAATCAATGCTCATGTGTATATTCACCCAGCCGTCAACACCATATGCTTCTGGATTACTTCCTAGACACGATGACGTCACTGGGGAGGCTCCGCTCAACGTGTTTTGTCATAAGCTGATATTTTCGGGGGGGTTGTGGTGGTCACATGCTTCCATACATGGAAGCACAAATAGATTCTTTCTTGGGGAAGCTAACGGGGGGGGGG